TCAAGGTCATATGCAAGGGCACCTGAAAAGCCCCAGGGAAGTGAAACTAGCATGGGAACCAGCACTCACCCTGACCACCAGGCCAGGTGGCCAGAGCTGCCCAGACTTCCAACTCTCTTAGCCATGGCCTTGAGAATGTTCAAGCTTCTGGTTTTAACATGATGGAGCAAACTAGGGGACATAGGTGAAGAGTCAGGATAAAAGAGAAACGGAAGGAGCGAACGCAAGGCAGGGGCTGCGCAGTACTGAGCAGTACTGATACCGAGAGCAGGCTGAATCCTAGAGACATTCAAGAGCAGACAAAGGTGTCCCATGCAGCTGGCTGAGATGCCCAGAGTCTGGCTGTCCATACGCATTTATGTATCACAATAGAAATAGTTGTTTTCGACAAAATACATCAAAGCCTGTGCCAGTCTGGAAAGATGGCCGCCACCTCGTGAAAAGAGCAGGATCAGAATTGTAGCTCATTTCAGTGATGACGTCACCTGGGAAGGCTGTTCCGGTGTTTTCATAAGGAGCCTTGATGGTGTGGTGGCCACGTGCTCAGTTGCTAGTGAGAAAGGTCAGTGGTTCAAACCTGTCAGCCACTCCAAGGGAGAAAGACGCGCCCATCTGCCTCCCTAAAGCGTTACGGAAGGACGTGCAGCCCTTTGTGGGAAGCTGCTGACTCGGTCGGATAGCATCGCTGATTCCAAATGGACTTCAGAGCAAGGGTAGAGCACAGAAGAAAGACCGGAAGGATGTACTCCAACCCATTAATCGTGGTTACTTGTGGAAGTGTGATAGGAGAATGAGGGCAAGGGTGAAGCACTGAAAAAGTGGGGAACATTTGCCTTTTATTTATTTCTGTGTGATTTTAATGTTGCATTTAATGTTGCATTAATGTTGTCTGGATTGATTTGTAGTTAAAAAGTGGACAAAAATAAAAAGCAATGCCCTCAAATAGGATTAGGTGTGATTTATTATTTCTATTTTTCCTCAAAGGATGGTCAGCAGACCCACCCATCTAGAAATATGCAGAAGAGTCAGATGAAAATGCATATTGGAAAAAAAAAAAAGAAAAGAAAATGCATATTGGTGACCCCAGATCTATTGAAGGAGATCTATTTGTGAGAACCAGGATTTTCATAAGCTTACAGGGTGATTCTGAGGCACCCTGATTTTTAAAAAATTATTTCAAATATAATGTTTCTTTTGTAGGTACATTTAAGATTAAGTGATAAACTAGGCTACACAATACTACATCCCGTGTAGTTGAAATATGTGTAAGGATCTCAAAGAAAATGTAGCAAAAATGCTGCCAGGGACTATCACAGGGTACAAATATGCAAAGGATTTAAGTGCAATCTCTTCTCTGTGTGTTTCTATTTCCAAGTTCTCTGCAATGAGAACATCCCAGCTTCATTCTTCGCAGGAAGCACTTTAAACCAGAGTCACTGCCATCAAACCAA